TTTGTCCTCGCATGCGTTGGCACTCTTAAGCCATTCATTTAACAAGCTCATGAACTTGTAGGCGAAATCGGACAATGACTCTCCTTAGACACGCCTCGTGTTACGAAACTTCACCCTCAAGGCTTCTGTTGACAAGCTGTACCTTCGCCTCAACTGTAGCTGAATTTAATTGTAGTCACTAGCATATTCGTCTGGCATTCTCGCGATTACATTGGCTGCCTCATTTGGGAGCAAAGTCAACAGGTGTTGCGACCAAGTCTCTTTTGCAAGTGCTGCTCTTGTACATGTCCTCTCGAAGTGTACGAGATATAAAAGGATGTCACTCTCAGCCTTCAAAGGTTGCATGTATCCACGCATGTCGAAACTATCATTGCGTTCAAGGTTATGCAGTTGCATCTTTTGACTTCAGTTCTATATCTCGTTCTGTAACTCTTTCGGAGACTGCTTTCTAACACTCCTCAACTTCGTCCGCATTTGCTCTGCATTCGGATATCGCTTCAATAATTTGAGGCTTCCGCATCCACTTTTCGACAGGGATACTGAGCTCTTCAGCTAGCAACACTAGGTTGGGTTTCGTTAACGACGTGAGAATCATGCTTGCTGTTAACAAGTGCCACTTTGATATGTATTACTATTTAGTAAAGTCAACAACTACAAAGAACCTCTACTATCAAGTAAATGCTGCAATGCTCTCAATGAAGTCAAGTAAGCCGAGCTCTCACCGAACCGGACACCAAGGCCGCCTTCGACGTACGCTCCATACCGCCGCCACTGCTGCCACCAGCTGTTACGTATTCGGCGGCCTGACGACAGCAGGCCCAGGAAACGGACGACTCAAACAGTGCCAGGAAGACAAATCCCGCTTTATTCAGTTTGCGACTCTTTTTTAAGCGCTACACCGCCAATCAGACGTTGGCAGGAAAGGGAAAAAAACAAGATAGCACATTAAGCGGGGCAATCTTATCGGAAAGCCCCAACATAGAAAGGAGGGCAAGCACTGTGTATGTTACAGAGCTCAAATGAGAGGCACACGCTTTTCTTTTGTTTATCTCGCTGAAGTGACTTGGCTCAGTACACTTGCGTCAAAGCAGAGGTGGCTTGTAACCTTGGTCTATTTGCCCCGCCGCGGTGGTCTAGTGGCTAAGGTACTCGGCTGCTGACCCGCAGGTCGCGGGATCGAATCCCGGCTGCGGGGGCTGCATTTCCAATGGTGGCGGAAATGTTGCAGGCCCATATATCTGGGCGCACGTTAAAGAACCTCAGGTGGTCGAAATTTCCGGAGCCCTCCTCTACAGTGTCTCTCATAATCATATGGTGGTTTTGGGACGTTAACCCCTACGAAACAATCAATCAACCTTGATCTATTGAATAATTTAACACTCCAGATACTTTTCATTCGATTGATCAACGCTGTGAGTGAGCCAACCACGTCAAAATTTCAGTCTCGTGCGTACTTTACCACAGTCTAATGTCCACCATGCAACGGTGTTTTCATGTGCAAGTTTTCATGTGCAAGCCCACTGCTTCAACTATATTCGTAAAACATCGTGCTAGTATCTAATTCGTGGGTAAACTCGACTTTAGCGCTTACAGATAGACTATAATTTCAAATTATCTAATCTTTGCGCCTAACAGACACAGTCACCATGACTTTTCAGCGAAGGTTCGTGGACAAACGCACTAGTCGAGCATCCAACGGTTTCTTGGCTTTGAGTCGTTCGTGCATCACAAAACTTGTATATACACCAAGCAGTCCGTTATGTCTCAGAGTTACACCTTCGAAACAAGTCTGGAGTCAAATGTGGCCTCCTCGCTTGTCAGAATGAGTGGGTCAACGCGCACTGCAGAGAGCCACTTTCTCTGTGTATCGCTGTTTAGCATCGGCGTCCAATTTCTCGGCGTATATGCTCAAGCGAGCAGAGTGCACATCGCCCATGGCTTGTAGCAGCTCTACAAATGGTGAATCTCGTACCGCTAAATCCAAATAAAATGAAACGTGAGCAACGTGCCCGCACTAACTTGTGTGCACCTGTTGAAACCGCCAGACTCAACTGCCGGTATGCCTCCGGTTGTCGGTATAAAGGTCTTCAAAATGGTGGCCCCGCGGCTGTCAGCACAGCTGGTGCACTTTTTGCTGCCGCGCCCACCAAGCTGACGTCGTGTGAATACAACCTATATGTGGAGCTAGTGAAACGGCCACGAGCACGCTGTGAGCGTAGCACGTAGTCACGTTTTACATAGCACGTATGCCATGATTATCATGTTCGGATGTGTCACACACCTTTGTTGTCTGTTCACGTCACTTGACACCAAATTTGGTGGTGTAGCTAAAGAAACGGCCGCGAGTGGGCTTTGAGCGTAGTATGTAGACATTTCACATAACACGCATATGATGATGATCATGTTTGCATGCATTATTTTCCGTCTATTCATGTCACATATTCTTAAATTTGGTAGTGGTGCTAGCGAAACGGCCACGAGTATTGGTACATAATTAAAGTTGTTTTTACATAATTAAAGTGAACAAAAACTGTGCAAAAAAACTAAATATAAGACAGACGAAACACCGTTCCATGATGCCAGTGCACGTTAAAAAACACCACATTGTCGAAAATTCCGGAGCCTTTCACTACGGCGTGTCTCATATTCATGTCGTGGTTTCAGCACATAAAACCTCAGATAGTTTCATTATTAACAAGCGTAGTTCTTTCTCGAGGAGAGGAGAACGGCACGTGTAGGTAGAGATATTTCAAAGCAAAAGAGCAACTCTTAATTAATAAACAGTACATTTTATTACACCAATGTAGGGAAGCATTCATATCTTAACAGCCAGAAACAGAATAGGACAGCACTTCAATTCAAAAGGAAAGCAGTATTGAAGACAAGTGTGAAAAATGAAAGCTATGCATTTTGACTTACTGAACTAGTTTCGGAAGCTTGTGCAACTTTTGAGACTTGTTTGCCGTATTGTTTTTCATTTGTTTGCAAGATTGGCGCATACACACTCCTATGTGATAGTGGAGCACTTGTGCGATTATGTCTACATTATGTTTCTTACATTTAAATGAGAGGTTGTAGTTGTGTATCTAACACGAAGTCAATAGATCAAATCATACCCTTCCTTATCGCCAGCGTGCTTCTGAAGTTTCTACTTGGCTTCTTTAAAAAGATCGAATAGCGCGTCATTAGGGTGTGTAACACCTCATCTCGTCCTCAAAACTACAAGAGCTGATTCACCTCTTGACATATTAGATGTCCCAGTCAGTACAAGCTTGCAGTTATAATTTGTATTTTTTTTTAGTTTTCAGCAACAAAACCCGCATACATAATAAATTATTCAGTCGGTAACGCTGTCTGATGCAGGTATTGAGATAAATACATCGTCGCACTCAATCTCATCCAGCACCAATCCGTCGAGCCTGTTTTTCAGCTCATGCAAGCGCGATTGGCTGGGCAGATCCTCCTTGAAAGCTGATGTTAAATCACGCAAGCTAAGAAGTAATGGCTCTTCACAAGAAAATAACTGGCAATTCCTGTACTTGGGTGGCTTTGCGGGACTGTAAATGGATAGTATGCTGTATAATTACAAGAATGTCAGTAAGCAGGGATGTTCATTTTGGCCTCCAGCTAGGCGTATGACACCAAAAAATTTTTCCCAAACATCTTGGTTAAACTTTGCAGTTAACACATATTTGAACTCGCATTTCCTTAACAAGTAGTTCAACAGCTGAATTGTCATCAGAATAGTCACTCCCAAGCCCTCAGCAGTGCATGGTTCATAAAAAAAATTACGAGGATTAATTCGTCTTGCATTCTCTTCATCCTTCCAATTATTGAGCCATTATGGGAAGGACTCTAGCTCATCAAAATTTTTTCCGCTCAATCTTGGACCTTTCTGAGGGTGTCTGCGATTCATGGCATCAAAAATGTTAATTCGCACTGTAAAATAGACTTTTTGCATGTATGATGTAGCCAGATTTGCACTGGGGCACAAAATACATCTCTCCCATTCATGACCTGTTCACACGAACAACATGGACTCTCATCGCGCACACACAAAAAACTAACGAAAACAAGAGTGCAGCGTGACGACAACTGCTTTGTCTGAAAAACACGGTGGTCTGAATGGCGTCGTCGGCTCGCCACTGGCACGGCTGTGAGCCAAGTGACTGCTCCTGCCATCTCGCGGCGCGTTGGAGCAGAGGAACCTAAGTTGAGCGCAGCGAGCGTGCGGCGCTGGCGCTCCATCTTTCCACCTATACTTCTAACACCGTGCTTAAGACTACTAATTTTTTGTCGTCAGTCACTAAAACATTTGCGCTTTTTGTCAACGACTTTCTGTGTTGTGCCCACAAAAGCTTAACCCAAGATCTGTTCAAGTATAGCAAAGGCCTCTTATTTTTGCCAAGTACATGCGGTCACTTTTCAGCGCAGCACATTCGGAGCAATAAAGAAAGCCACGATCACTTTTGTGTTAATCCGTTCTGGAAAACAATGTCATGGCACTACATGTGTCTTGTAATGGACAGTGATACTCTCTGAAGAGGGTTGCATGCGATGACACAATAGCAGGTTGTGCGAGAAGTGTGCATCCTTGGTGCACACTTCTCAGGTCTTGATACCTTCATGTGGTATGCGAGGGAGCTATCACATAATAAGATCATGTGCTACATGACAGAAAGTGTTACACTCACCGCCATGGCTACTGGTGGCACTGACTGACACTCCTATATTTAAATGCACATAAAGCCCATAGTACTCCATAAAGCAAGGAGGGAAATGACATTGGATGCATTGTTATTCGAAGGTTTGGTCTCTGCCAGTTGTATCACAATACAATTACTACTAATACCATCACCTTTCCTTGCATCACTGTCTGTTCTCATTAAAATTGTATCTAACAAGGAAATTTTAATTTCTAATGAAGGAAAGAAGTTTCAAGCACTTGTTTTTTTTTCTTTGTTAGACCCTTCTAACTTGTGTCTTTTTCCTTTGTGCAGCAACCTGACCAAAGTGACATTCCATTAGTGGGCAAGGAGAAAAAGTTTAAGGGCTACTACAAGATAGCGCGACACTATGGCTGGGCACTGAACAAAACCTTCTTTGAATTCAATTATGACACGGTGCTCATTGTGGAAGGTACGGAGGAGCACTTGCCTGTGGCCACTATCCTTGACCCGATGTTCTTTCTTTCAGATGACCTGGAGCTGTCTGTAGACTTTTTTGAATACTTCCTGGCATTGCACCCAATTTTGAAGAACGACCCGACTCTGTTTTGTGTCTCGGCATGGAATGACAATGGCAAGGCAGGACTTGTGGAAGATGACCCAGGTTGGTATCCGTCCACGTGTCATTAGCCATGGGGGTGTTCTCTTACACATTACGACATCTCTGTAAGTTTTATTCAAAGGAAAGGGATTGCTTCCGGAAAAAGCTGCTCTGTGGTATGTAATAGAGGGCTGCTGCATAAAGCTTGCCAGTGCAGCAGCCTTCTGGCCAACTCTGTGCACTCAAAGGATTCTGTTGATGGCAAGTATTGTCTCGTCATTACGCAGCAGCTGCATCTTGAAAGTGCTTTATGCTAGCATAAAACACACTTGACGACACTTTAGAACATCGTTTGAAGGATGGATGCATTACCACTATTACGAATATCAATATGGATGCACAGAAGTTGCATAGGACAAGCATATTGCTACAGCTAAAAAGATTCTTTATATTTCTCAAGCGTACTGCCGCCATGCTTTCAATTTCCAGTGAGCTTGGTCATGTGAGCGGCGTCTTCTCTTCCTAGAGTTGCTTCATCGGTCTGACTTTTTCCCTGGCCTTGGGTGGATGATGACCAAGGACATGTGGATTGAGATGAGCCACAGGTGGCCCAAGGCGTAAGTGCTCAAATTGAACAAGCTCTTGCCACACCTTAGTAGCCGGCTTTCGTGAATTTAGTGTACAAGCAAACAGCTGCGCATGACTTAGAAGGGAAAGCTGAGCTGGTTGGTTGGCAGTTACTCCACTCCTGCTGTGCCAAAGTACACAGATTCGGATTAACTGCACCATCCTGATAGAATTGATGAATATTACACCGAACTGTAGCAGAGCCCGGTGTTGGACAGTGTCCATCACTGGCAGTTTCACTGCCAGTGCATCAAGACGTGTGAATCTTGATCATCGCGCCACCAAGGTCACAATCGTATACCAAGGACTATTCTGCATATGAGAAGGCACTTGTGCCAGTGTCCCAGTCAAGTCATGATGGCAGGTACAGTGCCAAAGTAGCTTTTGTTGCGCATGTCAGCTCGATGGTAAAATGCACGGCTCGTCAGTTCCATTTTTCATTTCATACATCAGGTGTGATTCTGTGGAAGCTATGCGAGAGGTTTGGTCAGCAAAATCTATAACTCTGCATGTTTTGCTTGAATTTTGTTGTTGTAAATGGGGCTTCCCTGATGGTCTCTGACAGAACTAATCGTGGGGGCCACAACACGAAAGCGCAGAGGACGCTTGGCGATCTTGAACAACCTATTGACAACCGTATAGTTAATAGGGTTTCTTTATTTCTCAGGCACAAAAGATATAAATTTATTACTTGGTCTAAAAATGGAAAGGAAAAACACTTTGCATATAGTAATGTCATTGAACTAGTACTAGCATATGTACTGCAAGAAGTCTTGCTAGCTTCCACGGCTGATGCATGAAACGTAACCTAGGTTCGTCTGTCCCAGAGACGTTGCTGGAAACTAATTTCAAGTGCTTGGTGGTGTAAGATTAAGCAAATATTTCATAATCAATGAAAAGTATACTTAAGCAATGGGCTGAGAAGAAAGACTCGCACCTCATCATAAGAAGGGCCCATGTGAATTCTTAGCACTAAGGCAAGAGTGGTGCAAAGGGCAGTTGGGCAATTCATTTTGGTCAGTGCTAAAATTGGGTTCCCCTTGAACCCTATTCTCGTTAATTCCTTGATCGGAATAGCCGCTTTTGTGGCTTCTGGTTGAAGTGGCAAAAAAAGACGAACATAGGCGCTGATTACGATTTAATGGGAAGGAAGGCACACGTGTATGTCCCATGGTCTCGCCCAGGCCATAGTGGAAAAGCAAGAAAAATTTAACACCAGAATTAGCAACAAGTGCCTTAGGTCGCAACCACAGAGGGCTGATGAGATACGAAAATTCTCATTCGCTTCAGATTTTACCTTCCTATATTTTTTTGCTTATCTACTATGGCCTGGGCAATAGTAGCCAGGTCATGTGGCATATATGTAGATGCGAGTCAGCGCCTATATTGTTTGAGTCTTTCTTACATTGTTTTTGTGCGTGCTACATTTGGCCAAAATGTGTGAACCCTCCACCAGGACCACACATGGAGCCAATGCTGTGTGCTGTCACCTCTGCTAATTTAAGGGGGGACGCGGGTTCTAGAATAGCGAAAATTAGCCAAAAAGTCAATTTTAGAAAATTGCATTTTTTTGAAATTTTATATTTATGTGCACGTGCTCTAAAATTGGAAACACTGAATTCGATCAGTAAATAGGTGAAAATTGGTTGTAAAGTCACCAGGACAGTCAAGAAATGTCCCGCAAAAAAATAAAATTTGTTCGAACTTCGCGTGCACGCCGCCAGCGAAGCAGCTGGCCGATCTTTGAAGTCGTTTTGCAGCTGATTTCTTTGTACGCATTTGCAACCTTCAAAATGGTGGTGGAAATTTTCGCTTGGCAACTTGTCCTTCACGTTGTCTAAAGGGTTCTCTAGCTTCCATATTCGTACACACACTATGTTGATGTCTGTTGCTTCTACATATCATGCAGCATATCTTACTTTCCAACCACTACATAATACACGTCGTTAAATTTGTGCATGTTTGTCTTGACCATGATTTGGCTCGGCTTGAAGGCCTACTGGTTCGGCTAGAACTGCCATTAGCAGAGGCTTGCCAGGCTGTCATGCCTTTTATTATTAATATTATTACTATCATCATTATTATTAGCAATGCAACGGCAATCGTCTTCAGCTACACACTTATTACTGGTAGCTTGCGTTTCAAAAGTAGAATGGATAACTTAATCTAAATTTCTCATTTCAGTTTTTGGAGATAGTATTCTCAAATCTGTGATTATTTTTTAGCCTTATATTCATAGAAGAGTACACAAAGGTAAACTGCTGGTACCTGTGATAAATCTATGGAATCGAGAGAGCTATTGCGGCCCGACAGATTCCTTCTTTCCAGCACATGTTCAAACATCATCGCTTTAAACACTATCCTTAGCTTTTGTTGTAGACATCGAGACTTTGTCGAACTCCAAGTGTCGGAGCCCAGAGAAATAAAACATCAACATGCATGTGCTTGTCGTGGAAAAGACAAGAATGAGAGAACGAAAATTATGCAATAAAGCTCCGTTCATGTGACGTTGTTAGTCATTTTTCAATGCAAGGTCCTCGGAATACGTGAGTACAATCTAACCATTTTATAAGAGAGACTGATATAAGAGACAAATTGGTATAAGAGACCTCACTGTGCCTACAGTAAACTGCGGGTTGATAGGAAAATCCATATGTGGTACATTGCTTATAAGAGACATCTCATATAAAGGAAAAAAATGGCTGCCCAGAGCATGGCTCATATAAAGGGGTTCAACTGTAGTATTGTTATTTTTTTTTTCTGAAATGTATATACTAGAGGTGTGCAATTTAGGTGGGGATGTAAATTAATAGTAAATTCAGGAATCAAGGTTGCATCAGATCCAATCCAATCCACGTTCTAAGCGACCTGGGCTGTAACCATTTTAGTGAACAAGAATATATTTCAGTAGCGGAACCCACTGGGCTCCGGCTAGAAGTGTGTGCTGGAACGTCCGCGCACCTCCGCCGCCGATGTGTTTTCTGGGTGCACCATTTATCTGCGATAAAATTTTTTTTAGTAAACCTGGCTTTCTTTAACAGTTTATTCTGACATGAGTAAATTATCGGTCCTTTAATTCTGCCTTCTAGTGAACGCATCGCAATGGATTCGCCTGCCGGTTACAGTTAAATAACTGGTGTTAAAAACAATACACATAGGGTGCAGGAGAGGAAGAGAAGGACGAAGGATGGCGCATGGCACGTCGGGGTGGTTCTTGAATCTACGCCGCAATAAACAGACTTCAAGATGCTCTGCTCTTCATCTCCAGGCGTATTTTTTCTTCGATCTCAGTTTTCCACGAAAGAAGTCTTCGGATTTTACATTGGTGCCGAAACCCGACCCGGTTTCAAGGAGGACCGTGGAACGCCTGCGAAACACGAGAGCAGCTAGACGCAGCACACCACCAAGATCATCAATGCCGTTGATGAGCTTCTAGCCTCCAGTGAATTCGACTTGGCGATGCTTCGCATCATTCTTCAGCGCCTGGAGAAAAGCACTGATGAGCTCACCAAGGCTAACGTAGCACTGCCCGCCCACACGACGAATGACGAGGTGTTGGCGAACATGGATTCGCTGCTAGACTACGAGGACCGAACTGCAGGGAGCGTAGGCCTCCTTTAACACCACGTCCAGGTGCTGGCTGTCTGAACATCAGGGCCAGCCAGGTCCAACGGTGAGTTGCCAACCGACTCTTCTCTGCCACGTCAAGCAGCCCCGTCAGATATTTCCGCTGGCACAGGAGCAAGGCTTTCTAAGCTACACCTAATGAGATTCCACGGTCCCCCACGAAATGGCTATCATTTTGGGACCTCTTTCAACACTCTGTACATGAGAACCCGCGTCTCAATAACGTTGATCGGTTTCACTACCTCCGATCTTTTTTTGATGGCCCTGTGGCAAAGGATATAGGCATACTCACAACCGACAACAGTTATGAGGACGCCGTTTCTATACTTAAGGAGCGGTTCGGAGACGTGCGCATGACTGAGCAGAGGCATCGAAAAAATCTTTGCACTCTACATCCCGTCACTACATCGGGGAATGCTTGTGCCTTGAGAAGCCTTTACGACTTTGCTCAAGTCAACATAAGAGGGCTCAAAGGCCTCGGCGTCTCGGAATCCTGCTACTCTGCCATGTTGTGCAAGGTGCTAATAAATGCGATTCCACAGGACATAATGGTGGATTATCACCGACGACAGCGACTTGAAGTGTCAAATGGGAACAACCCGCCGAGCTTGGAAGAAGAACTTCGACAGTTGCTCAAGCACCCACGCATCGAGGTCGAGTGCAGAGGAGGAGGAGGAAGAAACTTTATTCAGAGAAAAAAAAAATTAAAAAAATTGAAATGCAGGCAGTTTGGTCGGGCTCTCAGTCCAGGGCTCCGCTGGCACGGGCGGATCGCTGGACCTGGTCAAGCAAAGCTATTTGGCTCTGCTTGTCCTCGTCCGCAAGCCATGCCTCCCACTGCCTGTGAAACATGTGTGGTTGCTTCGTGATGTGTGGGCTGTCGATGTGTGTGGGCCGCTGGGTGCACTCCCATGTTATGTAGCTGCCAGCGACGAGTTACTTCTACCAGAGATCAGCAAACTTCCGGCAGCCGTGAGAATCAGCCAACAGCTTCAGCTGCAGTCCTCTATAACAGTGCCGTTACGAAGGAGGAGGCTTGCCTTTTCTGCCAAAGTTCTGCCAGAAGTCGCACTCAACGCTGGACTGCGACACATCGCTTCCTGACTCGGAAAAAAAGCATTTTCGGTCGACGACTGGGTGCTACTTCAGATGTACCACAAAAGGACATCGAGCAAGAGGGTGGATATACATTTGATAAATTTACAAATCGGCAAACAAATAAATATAAAACAGGTAAGGCATTTACACACTTTCAGAACGAAAAAACGAAGAACAGTGGTTTGTAATAAACCGGCATAAGAACATATAGAGAAATGAGCATTACATTCAAGATGATCACAAGTGGAGAATGGTTACAGTGATT